CTCTCTCTCTCTCTCTCTCTCTCTCTCTCTCTCTCTCTCTCTCTCTCTCTCTCTCTCTCTCGCATCGATCCAAGTACTCTCTCTCTCTCTCTCTCCCCCATCGTTCCCACTGCGCACGATTCGGTCGTCGTACTCCCAACCTTCCCTCCTTCGTGCTACCTCCTGCCTCCCCCTACCTCGTGCCGACGCGGCCCTCCCCCGCGCCCGCCCGATAGCATTCACACTGCCACCCCGTTGCTGCCCGAAACCGCTCCCTGCATTCGATTGCTGCAATAGTGAATATTTCCCGCCAACCGACACCCCCCCCCCCTTGCGATGCCGCCCGTGGCAGTTACCGGCGTCCCCAACTACACCACGCAGAGACTTCCCTGCTACGACACGAACCGACACCCCCCCCCCCGTCTCGACGACGGCCGTCCCGGCTACCGGCCTCCCCTAAAAACCGGCTAGCGGACCGACGGGTCGCGCCGCCGGTTCCCCCTCGCCCCACTACCTCGGAGTGGGCCCGCGTGGCGGCGCCCGGTTTCTGTTGGGCCCGTCATGCGAGACCCGCTTCTTCCTTTATAGTATTAGAGAGATGCAGCAATGTGCTGTTCAAAGTTTTTAGCTTTTCTTACAGTCATACGTGCATAGCAGATGCACCAATTGGCTCTTTTCCTGTCTTATTTTTCTGAAGTTGTTTAAAGTTTAAAGTTTAAAGTTTAAACTTTATAAAGTTTTTTTTTCGCTCTTCCTTTCACTCGTCCGCAAAGTCTCTTCAACACTGCCACATTGTGTTTCCCTGCAATTATGCCCTGCAATTATGCCCTGCAAGCACAACCCCACAGCAAAGGTTGTGTCAGCCCCTTCATCAAGCACTCTCTCTCCAACCCCCCCAGACCCCCCTGTCCCACCCCACCCTCTTCCCCCGCCCCATTTCCAAGCCCAACTCCCCCCCACCTCCCCCCCGCCCGCGAAATCAATGTCTCTCCCTCTTGAAAACCCGCCCAAACTCTCTGACGAAATGGAGACAGCCTCGAAGAACGGAATTGTAAGGCAGGCTAGAAATTCGAAATTCAAAAATTAAACAAAAAGCTGAGTGGGGATCCCGGCCGCCCGGGTGACCGGCAGGGGGCCGGGGGAGGTCCCGGGCAGCCTGGGCGGGCAGGGCACCCGGTTGGGGGCCAGGCCCCCCCAGCGCACTCACCTGTCAGGGGATTTCGGACCCTCTTTGTGTGTG